CCCCAAAACCCCAAAACCCCAAAACCCCAAAACCCCTTATAACATATTTGCATTATCAAATGAAATTATATTCTAAATTGATATATTAATTTACACAGATTTACCAAGAGAGGACGCAATACAAAACTCTTATTGACTCATTTTTTCAATTTAACAATACGTTCTGCTATTTGTTTAAATAATTCTTGAACACCTTCTCCCGTCTTTGCAGAAGTTTCAGCTTAAATCATGTTATGCTTTTAACTAAGACTCTCAGACATTCCTCTCGTTATTTTCCTCTACGATTCTTCAACATCGCATTTATTACCAGCTAATGCCATCACAAACTCTTCCTTGTCATTATTATTAATCATCTCATTGATCCAGAAATGAACGCTTGTGAAACTCTTATCATCTGATATGTCATAACATATTATAGCTGCTGCTGCCTCTCTATAATATAACGAAACCATTGATCTGAATCTCTCTGAACCCCCTGTGTCCCAAATGTGAAGCTTTACTTAATTTCCATCCTAGAGAGTAACGATTTGCTGAAGATATGCGCCGCCGATTGTTACATCATGTGACTCAGAGAACAAATTCTTGCAATAACGTTGTGCAATACTAGATTTTCCAACGCCACTATCTCCTAATAGTACAACTTTTGCCTCTATAATTTTTTATTAACTACTCGATCCAAAGATATCTTGTCGATCAACATTAGTTTTTTTCTGGACGTTTACAGCTGATGCCTTGGCTGACTTCTTTGATCTACCATAGCAGCAACCTCCTCCTGAGGTTGACTGATCATTAGTTTACATCATTTTATAATTATAGTATTTTATCTTAATAATTTAAAATTTACTTATAAGACTCTTGAACGACTTTTATTACTTAAATTTAAACTTAAAAGTACAAATGGCAGAGAAATCATAACTCTTAACCAATAAAATTCAGGAGGGCTAAGCTCATGAAGATTCAAACAGAATAGGTGATGCTATTAGAGTATATGAGGAAATCATTAGATTCCCACTTGCAGTTCCAGATGATATCACTGATGAGGCTGTGAAAGCAAAGGAAACTGCCACATATAGATTAGCTGGTATTTACAAAGAGAAAGGATTGGTAGACGAGTTGATTTAGCTCTAAAAAGATCTTCTTCCACTATTCATTGATATACCAAAGTCAAAGACTGCAAAGATTATTAGAACTCTTTTTGATCTAACAACTAAGATTGAAGGAAGGAATGCAGCATTAGTTGAGCTCTGCAAATATATCATTGACTGGTGTGAAAAGGAGAGCAGATCATTCCTCAGAATGAGAATTGAGAACAAGCTAGCTGAGTTATACTTCAAATTGGAGAAATTCCACGATTCCCTTCAACTCCTCAATAAACTTCTTTATGAGCTCAAAAAGAAGGAGGATAAGCAACTACTTGTTGAGGCTCAGCTTGTAGAGAGTAAAGTTTATCATGCACTAGAAAATTTACCAAAGGCTAAGGCTTCCCTTACATCAGTGAAGACCACAGCTAACTCTATCTATGTTGTCCCATTACTTCAAGCTGAAATTGATTTCATGAGTGGATTGATTGCTACTGACGAGAAAGACTATATCACTGCATATTCTTATTTTTATGAAACATTTGAGGGATACAGATCTATGAATGATAACACTGCAGGCCATGCCTTTAAATTCATGCTTTTCAGTAAGATCATGAGCAGATAAAGTGATGATGCTCTCAATCTAATAAACTCTGCAGTTGCCTTAAAGTATCAAGGAAGAGACGTTGATGCTATGAAAGAGGTAGCCTCAGCCAACAAACAATAAAATCTATTAATCTTTGAGAAATGCAAGGATGTTTATCAAAGAGAACTTCTCGAAGATCCAGTCATTAGACGCCACTTCAATTTCCTATACAACACCCTGCTTGAAGACAATCTTAAAAAAATTATTGAGCCTTATTCAGAAGTATAGATTGATTACATAGCTAAATAAATCGGCTTACCTTTTGATAGAGTTCTTCAAAAGCTAAGTGAGATGATTCTTGATGAGAAAATTGCAGGAACTTTAGATCAGGGAAGAGATTGTCTGATTATCTTTGAGAAAGGAGAATCTGTTGAGATGTTTGAGCACAGTCTGAATATTTTCAAGAACCTAGACTCAGTCATTGATTCACTCTACGATAAGACTCAAAAGTACAAGGAGAAATACCACCATTGATGACTATTAGCTCTGACTTATTAGCAACAAGAAAATAATGATGATAAGTTGATTTTGTAAAAATTTCAATTTCTATAAAGGTAGCAAGGGGTTTTGGGGTTTTGGGG